TTTACGTCGAAACAAAACTTACACAACTTACTAATTCTTGTCTTCAGAGATTAAAAATTTGATATTACCGTGACCCTAGACGTGCTCATGGCTGTATATATTATTTGTATTTATATCAGAGCTTTATTAAAAAGCACCCTGCTCCACGTTCTGCATCCTGTACTGAGATATAGAAACAGGCTGAGACTCAGCTGAGCTGCTTTCAGGTTCTCAGTGAGTTAGGGTCTTCTGGTTTCTCACAGATACTTTTGTGAGGGTCTTCACAGGATGCATCAAACCAACACGTCAGCTCTTTTGCTCCACCTCTCTCCCCCATCCTCGCACAATCCTCTCCCATAGTATCGATCCCTTTATAGTTGTCTGGCTCTCCTTTGGACCAAAAAGGCAATCTGAGGTTTGAGGAAGAGAAAGATGTGATTTAATCAAACTGATGACTTTGACATCGTTTCCAGCATTTCCAGCGGTCTAGTGTGAACGGACACGTTAATGAATCGAATGCGTGTGAACGGAAGCCTTTCCCTATGCGTCCTTGTGGGGCCGGGGTCTAAGCCAAACTATATCCGGTCACAGAGATCTGCTATTTTAAAGTAAAGTCAACACATATAGACCCTAAATATAGTCTATATTAAGAACGAGAAAAGTCTTAACATATATATCCTTTTTTGTAAACATATGACATATGTGTGAGGGTGATGACGTCAGAGCATCGTCCTATGTGCCGGGGCTTAGCCCCGGACAGCCCCAGCCCAATTTAACCCCTGGGTATTTGTGAGGGAGCTCCTATATGGCATTACCCCGCTGAAGCTCACCAAAGTTTAACATATTTCATAATTCAAAGTTTTGTCAATTGTTTTGTTTATTGGTCAAATACTGGTTTCTAATGGTTTCTGAGGAGTTTTACTGGAATGAAAGAGCACAGAGTCTACAGATGCAAAAAAGCAGCATACTGCATTAAACCTGACCTTCACAGAGAGGTTGAAGTTCATGTGGAGAGGAGGCTTCAGTAGTCTGTCTGCACTCTGTTTAGTTGTGCTATCTTACAATCAATATAGTAAAGTGTGTTGCCAATGTAACCGGTTAGAACTCAAAGTTGCGATGAGGTCTTAAAATGTATGGAAAGGGTCTTGAAAAAGGTCTTAAAAGGTATTAAATTTGACTTCAGGATTCCTGCATATACCCTGAATATTCATTACCGGCAGAACTGTATGCACACTGCACAGCGCTGCAGCATGTCTGTGAGCGAGCGAGAGAGAGAGAGAGAGAGAGAGAGAGAGAGAGAGAGAGAGAGAGATGCAGTGTGTCTGTGAGGCCCCGCCCCCGCAAGCAGATGAGAGAGAGAGAGATCTCTTTTTAAATATATTGAAAGTTAGAAACTTAGATGGTTGGATAAAATGTGCAAGATAACGTTTATGTAGCATTTCTTTATTGTCGAAATGATGACATTTATAACGGGATCAAATCAAAGTGAATGGCCTGCTGCTGCTGAATGCATGGGGCAAGTGACTGGAAAAAGTTTTAAAAGTTATTACATCGTTTCAGATAATAAATAATAATGATAATTCATTATATTTAAGGGCGCCTTTCAAAGCAACCAAGGACACCTTACAATTCATAACATATTCCAAGGAAAGGTTTTAAGACAGTACAAAGAATGCAGTCCGGGTGATGTGTTTTATGTGTGATGCAGATGAGAGGGAGCCAGAATGACACCAAGATGTTGTGTTTGTGCTCTTGATAAGCCATTAAAACAGTAAAATAAGTGTCTCCTGTTTACCAAAACATACCCATCTGTTATTGAAAAAAAAGTATTCCAAAAGTATTCTAAAAGTAATCTGCCACATGTACCGGCGGGGATTGTTGTTAGCTTCTGATGCGCAGAAAAAAAATCTGGCCCACCCTATTTTTTACAGGCCCACCCTAAAGTACATTTCTGCCTACGCTACTCGTACCAACAAAGTAAAAAGTGAATTTCCCCTAGAAAGATATATAAAGTATGTCTTCTTCTGCTTCTTCTTCTTTCTTTTTCTGTTTCTCTGTCTTCCAGAGAAGTGGTTGTGGTCCAGGCTGAGCCCTTCCGGGAGCAAGCCCCCTCCTCGCTCTGGTTTCTCTTCGGCGATGGGCCCTGCAGGGCGGGCGCTGCTGTTTGGTGGTGTGTGTGACGAGGAAGAGGAGGAGACACTAGAGGGTGACTTCTACAACGACCTGTACCTGTACGACACAGTGAAGAACCGCTGGTTCCCCGGCGTGCTGCGGGTGAGCTGCAGGGCCGTGAAGCTTCTGAGACAAAGAGACTTTCTGTTCATTATTATTATTAATATTATTATTACATGTGACTTAGCTGGAGATTGTACCACTGAACCTCGGATTGCTAGAACCCATTCATGTGTCTGTTGCCTTTTTTCGTCACGTTTGTTTAGAAGAGAGAATGAGTTTTTGCTTCAGTCATTTACAGAATTTGAAATGAGCCCATATTTAAATGTATTTGTGGTAGTGGAGGCAGCAGGAGACACTTCTAACTATTCAGGCTTTTATCTAGACCCTAATAACATTTTTTATACGTTTGAGTATAAATATCAAACTGAGATTTACTTCACTTAGTTATGTTGTTTTCTCATAATCTTGTTTTTTAAGAGCATTTTCAGATTACTTTTAAGAATTTTGTCCTCACACGGATTAAAACTTAAGTTTGTTATTTTAAAACAAATGCTATTTGATATGCTGTGCCGTCAAATATATATATATATATATATATTTTTTTTTAAATCCTCTAGAGCAGAGAGAGGAGCTGAGGATTATTGTTATTGGTGAATGCATCAGTGTTTCTTAGGGTCAAAAACACCAAACTCACAACTTAAAATGAAAGTGTTTAGTTTATTTAATAAAAGAGCACATGTTCAATGTGAAAAGTGACAGTAGATATAGATTAGTTGCAATTTGCAATTTGGTGCTATATATATATATATTTTTTTTTTTAATTGAATTTCAGGGGGGGGCGCTGGGCTCCGTTGGTGGGGCGCAGGGCCCCTCCAAGACAATGGTAGGGGAAACACTGAGCCCTATTAGGCTTACTTTGGGGGTTTCCTTTTTCATGTAGTGTGTTGTATACTACCGCTGCCCGAAACTACATCATTGGACTCCTTTGTTTACTTACATAGTAACATCATGTAACACGCACACTTGCGCTCCAAGTAGAAGCTGGCTAAAACATTTTTTAGCTGGAAGCTACCGGAAGACTACAGGGTCTGGATGTTTCGATATTTGTGATTATTAATTGTTTTGGTTCTCTCTCCAGGGAAACAAGTCAGAGAAAAAGAAACGAAGAAGGGGGAAAAAGGGTGGAGCTGAGGGGGAAGGAGCTGAGAAGAAGGGAGAGGAGGAGGAAGAGGGGGCATCTCAAGGACCTACTGAGGTCATCAAGGAAATTATCGCGGAGGACGGTACAGTGATGACCATCAAGGAATTGATCCCCGGAGCTCAGCAGAAGGAGGAGGAGGAGGAAGAGGAGGAGGAAGGAGAAGAGGACGACGAAGATGGTAAGATTACATACACGTATTTAAGTTATGAAAGAAATAGCAAAAATAAAAGGTATTTTCGAAAATCATGTATTAATTTCTTCCTGTTCAGCCTGGGCCCCCCTGGTGGAGCCCTGCGCACGGTCCAGCTCCATGGCAACGGTGCGCCAGGGCAAGATGTTCCTGTTTGGAGGGATGTTTGAGGTCGGTGACCGCCAGTTCACCCTGAACGACTTCTACTCTCTGGACCTCAACAAGATGGACCAGTGGGAGGTTCTGGTGGAGATGGACCCAAGTGAGTGAGAAAGACCTCTCAAGAATGCTGAAGCAAAGTAACAATATCTCCAGAATGGTTAACAAAGAAATACATGAAGACATTTGTATGAAATGTATTCAGCTCAACAGATAGCTGCAGAGGAGCAGATGTGTCTTGTTTCATTGCTGTGTGACGCAGCAGGAAAGTATGTGAGATTTCATTTGGATTTATGATTTTGTTTTCTCTACAGAGACACAGGAGTGGCTGGATGAGTCTGAGTCAGAGGAAGATGAAGAGGAGGAGGAGGAGGAGGAGGAGGGGGCGGCGGCGGCGGTGAAAGGAGCAGAAGGGGAGGAGGAGTCTGAAGAGGAAAGCGAGGATGAGGAAAGCGAGGATGAGGAAGGCAAGTGATTATTCTGCCGCTTCACTGTCTATTGCTTTTCTTTCTTTTACAATTTACCTTCAAAAGCAGTTTATACTGAGCAACAAATACAGTGTGTATTTCAGGACAGGCTTGGCATTAAACAGATTATGATATACCAACATTCCAAACACATGTTAAAACATCCAGGGCTCGACATTAAGGACTGCCCGATGGCCCGGGGCCATCTAGTATTTAGCTCGGGCAATGAAGCCTCACCTGCTGGTTGCCCGACCGGGCAATCTATTATGCCAGTATCATGCAGCTCGCGGATCCTGTAATGAGTGACCCGACAGTAAAACTTAACATATCTATAACTAGTTTAGGTAGTTTGAGAGGTAATTAAAATAGCTACGTGTGATATTCTAACCTGAAGTGTGTGTTTTGTCCGCTCACCGCTGCATGTGATCATGCAGAGCTGCGTGTCGACTCGTCAGCAGCAGCTGATCTCTCTCTCCCGTCAGATTAGACTTCACTCGCGTTTATGTCCATATCGATCAGATCCAGCTAGTTCTAGCTAATGATATGACTACCTGCTTATTAAAAGACACCTAAACAATAAGTGTCGCTATGCAACTGGGTGAGGCCACAAAGTATAGCACGGCATTATGCATTTGTTTACATGCCCACCGGAACCCCGAGGCATTACCAACAGATCAACGCACAATCAACCCATATAGGACATCTCTTTCTCCACATTAAGTGTTACACATTAGAATTGAC